CAGTGGGATGTTACAAACATTATATACCAGAAACTACGTGTGCTATATTTACAATAATGTGCCAATATCTACCATCTACATTGAACAGTGTGTCCCCAGCCTAAACCAATAGAAAAATGCCAACACTACAGTGAAACATGGAGGGCATGAAGAAGGAGAAAAAGGACAAGACACACCCAATTTCCTCCATCTTGTCCCCTTTGGACCCCTAATCTAGAATCCTAAAATTTTACCTTTGTACCCGTGCCACACTTAATTATTACTTATATCAAACACTCAGAGCTTGTAATTCATCCTTTAAGATTGAAAACTCTTTTCCATGGACAGAGATCACAGACAGTGTCTCTCGGGGCTCTGTATAGGGGGGGTTCCTGAACCCCTGCCAGGGTCCCAGACCTGCCAGGGCAGACAGAGGGAAGCCCTGGATTCCCACAGGTTTTAGTGGTGGGTTAGGCTGGGTACGTGGAACTGGTTTCTAATCTGCAGTCCCGGCAGATTTAACATGGTACAGTATCTCCCAATGTGGATTAAGTATCTTATAAGCCATTTGTTGTTCTTGTTATTTATTTATTTTCTCTACTGTTTGCATTTAATTTAAGGAATATACATTTGTAATGGTGGATATATATAAAGAACAGTTGGTACTCTCTAATAGATTAAAGTGCATATGCAGGAAAGCCAGTCACATTATTTAAATCTGACATCCACCCTTACTGCAGTTATTCTTGTCTCAGAAGTAGTCCATCCTGATTATGATAGGCTTATTATTTCAAAACCTGATTGTTATCTAGACATAGTGCCATGTTTGCCTTATGAATAATAGAGATTTGAGAGGTGGCTTTGCTGACTCTGGGCTTTTTTTGCCCTCCTAGCTCAAACATCTATCCATAATTACTCTCAAAGACACTACCAATGTCTTTGTAGTTGGGTCACTTCTTACAGTCCATGTGTTCCCCTCTTTGTCTCCTTAAAGACCTTTCCAGTTTGGTGTGTAACATTGTATATTGGGAATGGCTGGAACAAGGCTCATGAGGACATTGATGTAATACAGCAGCATTTGTGCCTGAAAAGCAGTCAAGTTCTAATTATGTTTGAAAGTACGTTTTCCATTGTTTCTGAGGGTTTGCACACCTTTGTTGCATTGGTGCTGCTCTTTCTGTGAAAGGAAGAATACAAAATACTGATCAAAGAGCTTCCTATGTAATCTTCAGCTACTTACACTTTCTAAGCACATCTAAGACTTTGGTACCTTATGCATAATTCTAATAGAAAACCTCTAACACTGCAGAGCAGTAACAGAGGTGACAAGGTCTTTTGAAAGCAGGAATCTTTGCATGGGATAAAAATTTAAGTGTGCCTTAATGAATGGAGGGCAACTGCTATTGCATTAAGAAACAAATATGCACTTTGGTAACAGCTGTAGATTTGACACTTCAACAAATCTTCTTTGTGAGGAAATTTTGCAATAAAGAAATTAAAATCTGGCTTCACTGTGTGGGCTCAGAAATTAAAATTTTTATATGCATGTTAAATAAAGAGTTCTCCAGGATGCCCATAGCTTTCTTTGGAATGTCACAGTGGGTAAACACATTGTTCTCTTTTTCAGAACCCTCGTCTAGAGTCCATAAAGTTTTGAAGTCAAATGGTAAGATGCTTTGTGTACTGTTTACTAACCTGGTGCTCCTGTGCTTTGTAAAACAACTGAAGACAGATTCTTTTTTCTTGTAACTGTCCCTAAATACACTAGTGGGAGGAAGAAGAATTTTGGGGAGAAAAAAAAAACAAACCCAAAATGTTTGTGTTTAAATCTAATATCTGCTTTTCCACACGTGCGGATTGGTCCTGTAAACATCCTAGGCACTGAACACACCAAGTCTTGGTGATTGTAAATAGTTCCTCAAATCATAGCAGTGCTGCAAAATCAGGACCTCAGGTGGAACTCTGGTAAAGCTCATGCTGTCTCTTCTTTATCGGAAATCCTATATAGTCTGATTGTTATATTGCTGCTGCATTCAACCCTCTTTGGGGAATTCATAATTGGGGTAGCATTGAAACGGGCATAGCCTGACACCAGTTTGATTATTCATTGATGTGTTTTTGTTTTCAGATGTAAGCCCAGATATGCAGAAGGTAAGTAATTTCTTAAATTCCTTGCTTTAGCCCATTCATATAACTTTAGAGCACAGTATCTGCTAGAGAATCTCCATCATCTTGGTTGTGTTGATCTTGCGAATGAAGACAAATGCATAAATGTTATTTAGCATGTCAAATAAGATTACTGGAATGAAAGAAGTAGAAATACAGCTTACTAGTTTGAGAACATTTAATAAAGAAAAAAATCACCGATCCATTGTGGTTTATAATACAGTCCAATCAATTACTAGTGCTATAAGATACATAAAAATATCTCTAGAATCAAGGAAGTGCAGTGTGTAAAAATAGTGTTTAATCTTTGGGTCATATTATATTTGCATTTATTAAATAAGACTGCAAAATTTCAACTTACTCTGAGAAATAGATTTATATATATATGTGTGTGTGTGTGTGTGTATGTATAATGATATGTCACCAAACAGAGCACATGCAGGTTAAGAAGATTGTAATGAGCATTTCTAATTTTACATTTTCTGTAAGAATTTTTATTGAAATTCTCAGTGCAGTTTGAAGATCTCATTTTGAATTTCAGGTCTTAGGGTTTTGTTTAGGATGGAATTTTTAAAAAGTGTGTGTGTATTATAAACAGAGTACATTAGATATTACTTAATTGTCATGCCATAATATTGAAGCCCAGGATTTAATGTGAATGGGGTCTTTTGCATATATTTTTTCAATTCTAAATATTATATGGAAAGTACTGGTTGTTGTACTTATTTCTTTATAGATCTGATTTTGTTGCAGCTAACTGACTGTAGGTTAAACGTTGCCTGTGAATCTGATATAAGAGAATCTTACTAAAATATAGTATCTCTATAAAATTCTAATCAAAGTTTCATAATTTTTTTTTTAGCGGATGGGCATTGAAGGATCCCTGTTATCTCAAGCCACCAAACTAGGATCAAGTGAAGCCCTGCTGAATTCCAGGAAAAAGGTTTCGCTGGACTCCAGTGGGCTGGAGAGCCAGTTTCAAGAGTCTATTGAACCAGCCTACAGTAGTGATCACGATGAAACTCTTCAGACTTCTGCTACCGAATTGATTGATGCTGATGATGAAGAAGAGTCTGAACAGGTAGGAAAAAGAGGGGGAAAAATAAATTATCTTTTCCTTGGGAGAATGGAAGAAGCATTAAAATTATATGTAAAAGAGGCAGTAATGCATTGCAAATGTTTACAACTTCCTCTCCGTAAAAACATTTTTATCTAGGCTTCACACAATACTCACTTGTATTTTAACAAGAGAAGAAGTAAAAGCCCCTATACAGAGGGAGAAATTCCCACTACTTGAATTTCACTTAGTCCTTTGCAGACTTCCAACCTGGTTATTACAGAAAAGTTTTACCTGTTGCACACAACTGGCTTTTCCTGATGCTGATGGCATGCAAAAACATTTTTAGGCCTCATGCAGAGGTAGTTCCTTCAAAGCAATGACTTGAATATTATATTAAGATTCAGACATTGCTGCATGTGATGGGATGTTTCTTGATCTGTGAGCCTCTGGCAGTAGCTACGGATGTGTGAACTTGAATATGAGAAATTTTGAGTAGGATTTATGAAAATGAGAGTCTATATCTCTTACTACTGCACAGATGGTAGTTTTTTCTTACTGAATATGATGTTTCCACACATATGTAGTACCTTTGAAAGACTAAAAATCCAACTTCAAAATGTAGCTGTATTAAAGAATCTAGATTTTCAGTTTATTTGGTTTAGTTGATACTGAGGTCATATTGTTGTGTGGGTCATCTATTTTGTGAATTATATGAAACCAGTTATTGAGATTCTTTTTGAAGCTGACTGCATTTCTTATTTGAAATTACACTATTTGCATTATAAATATTTCATAAAATAGTATCTTGTACCAGTGTAGTGCAGTGTCTTGTAATTCCCCGTCTTGACACCATAACTAAGAATGAAAGAATGAGTAAGCACAAAAAATGCCACCAAAAAGTTGATACTATTAGCTTAGTGGTTACTACTAGATGTTGCAATGGTACTTTTACAGGTTTTATAAGCTCTGAGTAATTCTTGTGGCAGTGCTAACGACTCATAAGCTGTTTCGTCTCCCAATATAAGTCCCTGACCTGTTGTAGCTCCTAGTGATTCCTCTGAACCAGACTGTACAAAGAACTGTAGGTTTTATTACCCCTCACATTTTTTTTCTTTCAAATCACAGCAAAACTCACTGCAGAAATCAAAAGGGGGAAGAAAAAGACTTAATAGTCAAGCTGCTGAAAATGTTGAAAAACGGAGAAGTCTCAATCTCAATAAATGTGAAATGCAGGTAAGTAATTACTATTTTTTTACTTCTATTGTGCTATGCATCATAGGTAGCTCAATGAAATCTGTTTTCCCTAGGTTGACAGATACATCATCTTCTGTTTATGTCATGTATCAATGTTCATATCATTAAAATATTCATGTCTATGACAAAAGATTATTTCTCTTGGGGGCTGGGAAAAACAAGTAACTAACTAAACCAATCAGCATTAACTTAAGACAAAAGGAATTATGTTTCACTCTCTCCCCCAAACTCTGGCCAGCAATATCTAAAGCATCCTTTATGTTGGCATTAGAGAGCACGTGGCCTTGCTGTAAATTAGATCTGGATGAAAACTTGCACTAAAAAGAAAAAGGCATTTTCAGTGACATGTGCTGGAGAGCCTAAGATTCCTTTCTGCTGGGGTTATAGGCAAGGAAAAAGGAGAAGAACAAAACTTTTGGCACAAGCCCAGAGTCAGATTAGCTTAATCCAACTGTGAAACTGCAGGGTTAGCATAAAAGGTTTAATGTAACTCCTGCCAAACAAATTTGCCTTTACTCATGCATTAACATAAGCTACTGTCTTGTATTTGAAGTAAGATGTTATTAAACACTGAGAGTGAACTCTGAGCCATGGGGAGGATTAGGAGGCAAAGTAGTCTGGCACTGCCACCTTGGATCCCTCACTCTCTGTTGAGAGAGAGCACTCGCCCTGCCCATCTCCACATATTCTCTGCTGCAGGACAGACTGGTGCTATGGCAGTCCTGTGAAAAGAGGGAATTGCTGTATTATTACAGGGATATGCTAATGTTACATGCAAATTTCAAATCTCCACAGAGCTCCAAGGACCCTTCAGATGAAGAGTCAATGCAGTTGAATACTGATCTTCCATTTTCCTGCACCGCTCGACAGCCGCAGTCTCCTAGACAGTTCAGCACACCCCAGAGCAACTCTCTGATCATGAATATCCTGGGGGGAAGTACCTCTGTCAGAAACATCTGGACAGACCATCAGATCCGGCAGGCATTGTTCCCCAGCCGGCGCCCACCTTATGAGAATGAAGATGATGAAGATGATTACCAGATGTTTGTACCATCAGCATCTACATCCAGCACAAGTTCAGCTCCTGGTGGAGAAAGGAGGGGTTCTTCTGGCCGTCCATGCAGCTGGCACTTGGGGCAAGCGCATCAAAATGAGACTTCCAGTCCCAGTCGTCACAAAATTGTTAGACGGGCCAGTAGTGCTGGTGAAAGCAACACGTGCCCAGCCAGCGCCAGGTATAAAACAGGAGAGCGCTGCTCTCGAAGGGAAGTGAAGATAGCAGAGGGGAGCAGTAGGAATGCGTATCCTGAATCTTCAGAGGAGCTGACTATTGATGATATTGAACATGTTTATGATAATATAAGCTATGAAGACTTAAAGCTGATGGGTCTGACAAGAAGGGAGGAGACAGGACATGGTCCCCGGAGATCGGCTAGAGACTCTCTGTATGAGGCTGAAAATAAAAGCAGCTCAGATTCAACTTCCAAAAAGAAAACAGCAAATCAAAAGAGGACCTCAATTCATGCTAGCAGGGAGGAGATACTGCTCAGTAAAGAAGCACCAACTTCAAGTTTGGATGAGCTCAGAATTGTTGAAGACAACATCTATGACACCATACGGCTTCCAGAAACATCTCTATTGAATTTTAAGTGTGACCCATTGAAATCCTCTAAAAGGAGGAGTTTTTTGGAAAAGGACTTTGCATATTGCAACAATCTACGACATTTTGTTTCTGAGGAGAGTCTGCAGTTCAGTGAAGATGAAAGTCCTTACCATCGTGTTCCCATTGACAGTGACTACTTGAGCTTAGTCGATAGCTCCTCCAACTCTGACTCGCTGTCACATAAGTCTGCAGCAGATAAACTCTCAGAAGAAGTAGATGAGATTTGGAACGATCTGGAGAACTACATCAAGAAAAATGAGGAAAAGACAAGAGACCGTGTCCTTGCAGCCTTTCCTGTTTGTAAAGATGACATGCAGGAAAGGCTGCATGCTGGTAGCACACCCGAACTGAGTAAAGATGTAGAGTACTCACTGTCTACTCTCTCTCTGCCAGAAACTCCTATTTTCCCTAAAACTGTGAAGCCCAGGGCTGCCACCATAAGTGAGGCTAATCTCAGGCTTGAAGACACTACACCATGCAAGGGGAACTCTTTTATGAGTTTGAACAGATCTTCCTTCTCCAGTGAGATGCATTTTGTAGATAGTCCATATGAGCCTGCCAATAGTGTTCTGTCCAGCACACCTGCAGAAGGCATAGAAAATGACTTGGCTGTTACGGATAAAACAAAGAACAGAGTTTTTATGATGGCAAGGCAGTACAGCCAAAAAATTAAGAAGGCTAACCAGCTTTTGAAAGTTAAAAGTCCAGAGCAGGAACAGCCAGCTAGCAGACAACAGAAACTGAAACACAAAGATCTTGCTGCTATTCTGGAGGAGAAGAAACAAGGAGGTCCTGCTATTGGTATGTTACAAACATTTCTGTACAGATACATTTCTTCAGTAACTTTCAGAACTTTGTGTTCTGAACTGGAAGATTATGAATTTTTCACACCTTGGTCATTGAGTATCAGGATAATATTTTCTGTTTTACAACTAAAATTAATTTTCTCAGACTGCTTTAACATTAATGATCCTTTATATCTCATTTCTCGTTACTTGATGACTTTGGGAAGAAATACCAGGGCAGTGTCAGGAAAGAGCAATTTGACTGAGGCTAGAAGTAGAAATCATGCTGAAGCACTATTGGCGTCCCTACAAAAAAGCAGTTATTTCCTTTAATAGTGTGATCTTTAGAGTTTGACTAAACCAGTGTTTTTTCAAGTCAGTCTGCCTTCTAACAAGTCAAACATATTTGCTCACATACCATTCAGAATCATACCCTTAAGCATAAGGAATGTGGTCAGATAAGAGAGAGCTGATAATCCTTCTATCAGCTAATGGATGTGCAGAGTCATGGATATGCAACAGGTCTGGAACTATTTTTGTCCATGATCAATTGAAACAAAGGGAAGATGTGGCGCCAGCAGACTCCATGTACCAGAATGTAATTCTTGCCTTCTTGTGATTTTTTTAAAAGTCCCTAAATATCTTATTTACCAGGCCATTTTTAGAATGTTCTTTTCCATTTTAACATGAAACAAGCAGCATATTATTGGGACCATGTACTGCTTTGTGTCCTGCATGACTGCTCACTGTAGCAAGATATTTTATGCTTCTTTTCCTCAACAAAGTGTACTGAAATATGATGCAAAGGCCTCCACTGTTTCATGTTCCTTTGCAGAGGCCGAATGTATTGGCACAACTGAAAGGTCTTCTCTAAGAGCTTTCTAATACAAAGCATTTTGAGATTTTAAAATTTTTGTGTGATTCACTGAAATGGATTCCTCATCTCTGCTAAGTTAATTCTCTCTTCTTTCTAGGTGCCAGAATAGCTGAATATTCCCAGCTTTATGACCAAATTGTCTTCAGAGACAGTACGCCTAAGGTCCAAAAGGAAGCCGGGGCAACTCCTGAGGAGCCACCAGCTGGGAAGTTTTCCACACCTGTGGCCACATATCCTCCCCATTGCCAGCCTGCCAGTGAATGCTCAAGAGCAGAAGATTGGCTTTTGCATTCTACGTACAGTAATGGTGAGCTGGCCGACTTCTCTCCGTGTTCCGAATCCCAGGACACAAAGTCCAAGAACTCATTTACAGAAGCTGGTACAAAAAGCAATTCAAAGCAGTTGCCATCAGCTGGCTCAGTGCCTTCCCTTCAGATTTCCAACCGTTTGCATGTCCCAGCGCAGAGGTGGAGTGCCATTATAAGCCAACCAAACAAAGAAAACTTGCATCAAGATCACGTCTATAACTCACTGGGAAGGAGAGTAAGCAGTGTAAAACCACAGGCATACAGCAGGTCGCAGTCCTCGTCCTCAATAGTGGTCAACAGGTCTGGAGAATCAATTGTATATAATAATGAAATTGATAAGAAAAGGCTCCATTTGAATAGGAACTTTCGATTCAACAGCCATCAAACTCCTGGAGTTGCTTCAGGATATACAGGGCCAGAGATCAGAAAGCAGATCCCTGAACGCTGTTCAGATATGATTCTGCAGGATTCTCAAAAGGTCCTGAGAGTGAACAGAGCCTCCCCTCTGACAGCACAGATGGCTACTCAGAACTATTTTTTGAATTTCAAAGATTCTGAAGAAGGAGAAGGGGATGATGATGACTATGTTGAAATAAAGTCTGAAGATGAGGGATCTGACTTGGAGACTTCTCAGAACCAAACAAGGAAATCAGATCCTAAACTGCGTAACACAGATGCTGTTCCTTCTGAAATGTTCTGTGGCAAAACTGTCTCCTGTACTCCTGCAAAGTCTGCGAGCAGCAAACACGCACTTACCCCATATCTGACTGCATATAGTGATTCGGATAAACTGAATGACTACCTGTGGAGAGTACCATCTCCTAATCAGCAGAATATTGTCCAGTCTTTAAGGGAAAAGTTTCAGTGTCTCAGTTCAAGTAGCTTTGCTTGATGCTTTCAATAATTTCTAGCTGTACTGCCTTATCTTGACAGAATATGTACTAGGACAATCAGTACTGGCAACACGTATTTCTGTAATATTACACTATCAGGCATTGTATTGCAATAATGTTGTAAATAGATGCAAAATGTATCTTTTAAAAAATGGTTTAGAATCCTCGATGAGAAAGAGGCCACATGTGCACTGTCTGGGGTCTCTGTAGCACATGTGAATTTCTCATCTTCTACTCAACCTTGACATCTCTTCCTTTCTTATGTGTGATACCCCCTGATTCTTGCCATCAAACCAGGTGTAATGCCATTTGATTCTTAAGCCATTTTATCATTTGGAAACCTTGGTATTTGGACTTTCCAGTTAGTGTCCAGTGTTCTGCGTCCAAAATACCTGTATGATTACTCTGCTTACATGCAGGAGCATTTATCTGGGCAGCTGCTCCTGTGACTGTGAAGATTTCTGAGCAGGGTTTCGGTGATTACACCAACAGGCTGCGTGTGCAATTGCACATACTTTTTTGCACGTTACTTTTCATCAGACAGATTCCAAGTGTGTGGGACCAGTGCATATGCTACATTATTTTAGAGCAGGCTTCTTACATTTTAAAGAAAATCTAGTCCTAGTACTTGTACCAGGCTGATAGCTCTGTGTCTGAAGCCTCTTCTACTTTCTGGAACTGCGTAGGAGGCAGAAGACAGGCAGTGGAGTTTTTTTATGAGAACCTGTGGATGTGACACAGTTCTTGCCTGGGGAATGGTTTTGGCACTAGAAGGGGAGCTGCAATGCTTGTCAAGAGGGCCAGACCAGTCTTGGTACCTCCAGTGATGGTGGTGTTTGTGACATCACCTTCTGAGTATCTTGTAGCTCAGCTCCCAGCAGTCGAAAGCTGCTGGGTAGTTTGAGACAAAGCTCTGTGTTATGTGCAGCGACCTGCTGGGCATTTGTTCAAGTCCCAGTGTGAGTAACCCTGCGAGAGAATGAGGCTTGGCCAACTTCTTGGGTGAAATACTAATTGTGGGGCACGTTTGGCCTGTAGGGTAGTTCAGTGATGCTGCTGGTTGAGTGACAAGCTGCAGTCCCCAGGGTGTGCATTTCCTGTAGCAGAAAGTGACTCTTCCTGACAGAGAGGTAAAAGATATCTTTTGTAAATCAGTCAGTGCTGACTCTAATACAATTTATGTACAATAAAAAGTAGCTTAAAACTGAGAATACATTCCATTCTTTTGCAAATATTGTATAGAATAAATGCTGCCCTTTAAAGCAAGGACAGGCTTTCCAATACTGTCTACACTTCCCTTCATCATCTTTGTTGCACAGCTTTGGATTCTGTTACTTGAAAATATTGTACCGAAAGGAAAGCCTAGATACATCTACACTGATCATCTTGTGTGACTGTTCTTTTTTGGTGCTTACATTTTTCAGATTACATGGATAAAGCCAGTACCAAGTTAAACATATCAATAAACAAAGGAATTTCATTGTAATACTATTTTTACTAACCACGGATCACTTCCCTCAGTTACAGAGCACTGTACTTCCAGAACAGCTGATTATTTACTACATTGGTTACCATGAGGAAAAACTGAAGTTATCAGTGTACAGCTAATTGCTTGTAGACTAAGATTGGAGGATTTGAATTTATTAGAACTGACTAAATTATTTACCACACGTATCTTGCATTGGCTAGGAATTGTTATTTTGAGGGCTGGTTGGTCATGGTACTTACTAGCTCGTACCACAGGGATAGTTGTTACAGTCAGCACACCCCCTGTGATAGGACCCTTATCTATCTAGTGAAGTCCGACGGAAAAATAATGTTGTACATATTTAAGACGCTGAGGTGTAGCAGAGCCCATATTTATTTAATATAGCTTGTAAAGTATTGTAAATATGGATAGAAGGTAAATCTTTGGGCGCACATCTAGATTTGTTTAAACGGCTTTAGGAGAATGTTTAACTCGCATCTCATGCAATCAGTGGAATTGGGAGGGAGGGGACAACAACCAACCAACCAACCAGAAAAAAGGGACTTCTGCTAGTATTGTAACTTCTCCCAGGGACCATTTCATACTATTTTTAATAAACGTTGAGTATGCAAAAAACTTTGGGTGCTTTTCATTGCGGGGGGCGGAGGAAGGAAGTTACTGGCTTATGCCTGTCGGAGCTGATGTTCGGGGGTGATTTGGATGGAGTTTTTTTTCTTGAAAAAAAAAAAAAAAAAAAAAGCCCAAAAAAACCCAGAAGCGAAAGCGGGGGAGCGGCGGGGCGGGGAAGCGGGGGCAGGCGGTGCTCCATCCCTGCCCGCCCCTCGGCCTCTCTCCCGCCCCTGGCCCGTGCCCGCCGCCGCGGCTGCCGGCGCACCGGAGGGATGAGGAGCGCGGCGCTGCGGCGCTGCCGTGCCCCGGCGCTCCCCGCCGCGCCGCCCCCGCCGCGCCGCGGGCTGAGCGCGCCGCCCCCCCGGTCCGGCGGCGCGGCGGCGGCCGCCCGGTAAGAGGCGCACGTGGGGAGGCAGCGCCGGCTGATGCAACCGGGGGCTGCGGTGGTGTGGGCACGGAGGGAGGAGGGGTGAGGGGGATTTGGGCGATGAAGCCTCAGTGG